ATAAATAAGGGAAATGAATTACATTAAGAGGCATTATTGACCTTTCCTCGACATCTCTGCTCTGTCTGATTAGGTTTGATACAGCTAAAGGTGGGAATTTATTGTAAGTTGTACCGGTAATACCGATCTCTAATCGCGGATTATGATTTCGTGGTAGAACTCACGTCCATATCCCACCATACGTTAAAGGTGAGAATCATCGGATAACTTTTAGGGCTTCGACGACTCTTAATCATAACAATTAGGCAAAGTGCTCTGCAAGTTTGTGCACTTTTATGGGGACTATTGCCCATGGTGGCTGCGGCGCATATGGCTGGCATTGTGAATGGACTCGACCACTCGAACCCCGCTTTTCCGCTCGTTTTCCCCGCTTTCCCCGCTCTCTCCACTTCCCCCACTTCCCCATTTGCATGCGAGCAAGTGTGCTTTTGGTCGGTGGGTGTTTGTGCTGCGCTTAAACCAATTAGGAAATTACTTGTGTAAAGTGTTTGCCACAACAGCAGTAAAACAAATACGAGTCGGAACTTTTGCCTTATCCACCGGGAACACGACGACGAAATGCCGGCCATCTCGGGACTAAAACCCCCGGGCTTAAAGTTCAGCCAGCGATCGTTAGCCGCGCTGGCTTCGAGCGTCCTTCCGCTCCGTTGTGAGTTCGTCTCCCCAAATCCAAAATCAATGGAAATGCTTCAAACTTTCCACCGCTTGAGAACGCAAACTATAAAAATACACGAGTTATATAGTAAGCCTCCGAGTCTCCAACTACTGAGCGTAATCGCTCGCCTGGCCGCAGGCACTTTAACGTTTTAAATGGCCAAATAATTAGGCCAATTAAAGCAGTTGCCAGAGTGGCAGCGGGTTGAGGCCAAGTAATCGAAGATATGCTGATAGTAAGCTTCGCTTTAAAGCAAGAAAGTGACAGGAAACTCACGATTGACTCTTATTTTTCATTGCAGCACTTCGTGGAGCACATTCAGCTCATCGCATTCAAGCAGAATTTCAGCAATTCCCGCTCGTTATTATTCAACCCCCTCCGCGTTTTTCACTGCCCCATTTTTATTAATCAGTCTGCTCCGCCAAGTTCTCCTCGAAATTCAACAAGCAGTGTAACTCTAGCCAGCGTAACTCAAATTAAAGTTCGCCTTTAAAGACGAAGACGGAAAGCAAAACCCAAACCCAAACCCAAACCGAAACCAAGAGCCAGCGACCAACGACCGCTGGGAATTTGTTGCCATAGCCGGGGCAGATTAAGTTTTTTAATTAATTCTCGTAGCATGTGCGGTGGTTTCTGGTTCTCCGACGGGTTCGGTTCGGTTCGGGTTGTAGTTGCCTTTCCAGTCAATTAGTTTACAAATCCGCGTTGACACATATTTGATTAAAACTTGTGCGAAAATGCAGGGCGAAATGAGGATGAGTGCCGTGAAAAATGATTTTTTGTGTGTCGATTTCGTGACATTTAATTATGGAAAACATTGGCGAGGCAAAGCGCATAATCTCTTTGATCGGACCGATATTATACATTAACTTTCTGCCTGTGCACGAGCCCCGTCGAATTGTTCTACTATTTTAATGAATTCAGCGGTTGCATATTGCAGCTATCACAGCGCAGGACTTTAATTTGTAATTACATTTTTGTGGCTTTTGCGTTGACCATTTCGCTGCAATTTGATTAAAGCATCCTTTTTGCGGGCGGAGGGCGGGCGAGTGGTGCAGCCTCCCGCCCCCCAAATTAAAAGCGGGCAAACGAAAGATATCAAGCATACGCCACGTGGCGCACCCCGTTCCCCTGCGATTGCCCCGCCTCCTCCTGCTCTTTCAGAGCCATGCAAATAGCTCAATGACAAGCATATTTAATTTACACACACTGCACTGCACAGGCGCTGAAAATCGTTTGGGGCGGGGCAAGGAGAACGCTTTCGATATGGCAAATGGCATGCGGCAGGATCCCACATGTCAATGAAAGAAGCACCTTCCGGCGTTTGGGGGAACTAACTGGAAGTTACGCTAATAGGAATTCGCTTCATTCCCAGCTGTTAATTCAATGCGTTGGCTGTCATATTTCCAGTTCGAGGATGTCACTGCCACGAGCCATTTATGTGTGGGTGGTGCATCCCACATGGCACATCGCACATCCCACATCCCACATCCCACATCTCATATATTAAAATCCCATGTTTGATACGCCTCCGCGGACCAACCACATTAACCGAGCAAAGCAAACAGAAGGCTGCGATTCATTTGCGTGGCTCACACGCCGCAGTGTCTCAGAGCCACGAGTTCTTTTTTTATGGCCTTACTTTTTAGCCTGGCCCACTTCATCCACTTCTTTCAGAGAGTTGATTAATTATTAATATTTAATTTGAAGCAGATGGTTCCCTGCTCGGCTTATAATTTAATGATGATGTTATTGTTTTGCTGCCTGCCTTCGGATGTGTTTGCTTGGCTGGCTTTTATGGTTCGCACTCGGCCATAAAACCGCCGTCGGATTGAACGCCGCAAATATGTGTTTGCCACACGAGCGGTAAGCCCGCTGTCTTCCAACTCAAATAAATGGAATAAATGGTATAAATGGAATAATCGCCAGCCCGCAAATAATTGACTAAAACTGACATTGATTTGCGGACGTGGGAAGCTGCATTTCCACTGCTCAATTCCATTGTTCGTCATTTCAAAGCCCATTGTACCGAGTGCTGTAAGCGCAGATAACGCTGCGTATACGTAATCTCAGCAGGCGAACAACTGATTGCCTGACCGCCCACGGAAACGCACAAGGGAAAAAATCTTTTCGACCACTTCATCCCCACATTATAGTTATTAAATAATTACATAGTAATTAATTGTTAACGGTAGTTAATCATTTTTTTCTTAGCAAATTATCAATTTTATTACATCACCTCAGTTAATTTAAAATTATTTTCTAAATTGATGTAGAATTTTTTCCTTGTGTTGCGACTGCACTTTGGCCAGATTTATGCCGAACATGGGCTGTCATGAATCGACTGAAAAAGGATAATTGGGCTCCCGATTTCAATACGGCGACAGTTATTGATAAAGCGACGACATTAACAGCCGATGGGCGAAAATTGAATCAAGTGCAATTAGTAGCCGAGCTGCCATTCAGCTTTTAAAAGTTGCCCAGGTCAATTACGTAATGCTTTCAATCTGCACACAAAATCCTTTCAAAGCTGAACCGCTTATTCTGGTGTTTTCCGTTCTGCTCCTTTCTGCACAACTTTCATGGGGATCCACACCCTCGAGCGACATCTCCACATAAATAGACACTTTCGCTCGCGAAACTAGCAAATTCAATTTCATGCCCGCTTGCCCTCGTGACGCCGCCGGAAAAGCCGGGAGGAGCGGGGAAAACCCACGGCCACTTAATCCATAAACAGTTTGCCGCAAAGCGAAATTTATCCGGAAAGCCGTAAATCAAAACAGCTTAAAACGTTCAACATAAATCGTGAAGTTCGTGGAGTTTAGAAAACGGAGGCCATTAAATCACGTACTCGAGCACATCTCTCCCCGTCGGCGAATGAGTAACAATATCTGCGATAAGCAGAGACAACCAGTTCATAATTATTGCCCGATTCAATTAAAGGCACTGCGGAAATGATTCACACAATCGCCGGCAGTTTGTGACAAGAATCGAGCCAGTGGCCTGATATCATCCGCATAATTTACAGATGACAATTTACTGGATGGCCTGTCTGTGGCACAATCGCATTCATATGATCAGCTTGACGGCGTCAGTTATTTTTATTCATGTCCTCCCCCATCGACTTTCCCTTCAATTGAATCCCCAGGAATGGAGTGTTCCCAGAGGGTTTTCGGTTGAAAAAGTAGCTTTTCACTTGCGACTAAAAATATTGATAAATTCCGTTTAAAGAAGACTGGGCTGATCAGGAAATCAGAAGTAGTTTTAACCAAACTCTGCGGAGGCCCTTGAAATATTCTTCCAGGCGCTCTGGCATTTGAAAAGTTTCTTGGTATTCCGCCAGCGGATCGCCGCCTTCGTGCGCACTCAATTATGCCGCGTCCTTCGCCAACGCCGTCGTCATCGTTTGTCAATCCCCCAGCTCCGCTCCCCCAATCTACCCCGCATCCATCCCCAGCCACCCGCTCCACGACATGTCGTTTTTTGTATTTTTTGCGTTACTCGCCTAATAATATGTTAATTGACAGCTTAAGCCAACTGTCAGCGAAGGGTGCGTGCCGTTTCAGACACGACATGACAGCACATATGTCTCCTCGATTAGTGCGGTGTATCTGTTGGCTCCTTCCCCTCCGCTAGAGTGTAATGGCGTTGGAGGGCATTCGAAAGAAATGGTAAATGGGAAATGGGAAATGGTAAATGGGAAATGGCAAAAAAAGCAAGCAAAAGCGTGTTAACAAGTGCTATTCCCGGCGGGCGGGCGGCTAATTGATGCAGCGCACGTGGCGTATACGCAACAAACGCTCCAGGATTTCGGCATCGATGTTTTTTGCTCAGCTATGCAAATGTGATGAATGGCTGCCAAGGTCCACTCTCCCCACGTGGCTTCCGCATTATGGAATTAAATTAATTTTGCATAATTTCTACATGGCCATCCAGATGGTGGTCCATTGAACAGTGGCAATGAAATAGCGATTACTTTTGTACGGCTACCAATCAAATATGTAATGTGGGTCCTCGGACAGGGGGAATGCCATCTGAAACTGATTAATATATTCGCAATTATTTTCATTACATACGTATACCTTTTTCATACGCCTCAGTCGCCATTGCGAATAAATTGGTCCACTGTGCAGCGAATTTCATTTTCGTTATTGGAGCGAAACAAAAAGAAACTTATTCCGGCGCCCACACATCGACGGCCTTGAGTGTCCATCTATTTTGTGACGGGGCTGTGCGGATGTGTATCTACGTATCTACGTATCTATGTATCTGCGTATCTACGCATCTGCATCTGCCAGTCCATAGCTAAAATATTTATTGCGGCACTTCAATTTGTCTCTTCCAGGGCGGCATAACTCACGACATGCAAATCTCGGGCTGGGCGCGGCCGCTTCCCCCAATTTGCAATGCCAAGCACTAGAGGGAGCCAATTAGGAAGCCCACTGCCGCAGCCACAGCCACAGCCACTGACAGATACCCGAGGTATTTGAGGTATTCCGGATACAGATTGATAACAATAACAACTAACGAACCCGGACGAGATGGCCGGCCCTCCGCCAGCGGCGGCCCTTCTGCTGGCCGTGCTAATTAGCAGCTGGCCAAAGGCCTCTTTGGGCGCCACTGGGAACGGCAGCACTGCAGCAGCAGTTGCCAACAGCAGCGGCAACAACTTCGCCTTCACCGCGGACCACTCGGACCACTCGGACCACCTGGATCACCCGGACCACCCGGACCACGCGGACCACAGTGCCAACGACTCCATGGAGTACGACGCGGAGAGCGTGGCCCTGGAGCGCATCGTGTCCACCATTGTCCCGGTCTTCTTCGGCATCATCGGCTTCGCCGGGCTCCTCGGCAACGGACTGGTCATCCTGGGTGAGTACTCACCGTAATTCCCTTCGAAACAAACCTATCCCCGATTCCTAAATTAAATTTCTAGCTGCGAATTATTGTTTATGTTTAAGGGAAGCCGGGAGAACGGAACGGTTAACTATCGCGTGCTCAAGCTGTAATCATTTGTTTATAGGTGAAAGCGATTTCCCCCGGAGTGTAGGGCCGCCCATTGGCGTCCTCCATAAAAGCGGATTCGCATCCGAGGAGCTTTCATTAGCGACCTCTGGCAAATTATGCGTAATAATTGCAAATGAAGCTGCAAGGGACGAGTGGTGCTGGTGGTGTTCCTGGAGCTGCTGGTGGCGGTGGTGGATGGCCATAAAAACATAAAAACGGCTGCAGGAGCTGCGCATTCAGGCGAAAGCTAATTGATTTTTTATGTCCTATTAAGGGACGGCGAATTGCGGGAGGTGTGAGGCTGGGATCGTTAAGATTGCAATTCGCGAGTATTGCAGAAATTTAATAGGCCAGCAAAAGCAAACAACCTCGTTCGGTACAGTGCGTTTGCTTGGGTTCGAGTTTAATTAACCGGAAAGGTTTAACTTTAAGACGGGCGTATAAATCTCAAAGAACCCATAGAATCGAAAAACAATACAGTTTCCGAAGCAAAACTGATTCTAGTGGCTCTGCTCCGATTGAATTGTGTGCTTCCGAGTCCCAAAAAGTAGCCAATGGAGGAGCGTCGGGGGGCGAAGGCATCAGGATCAGGACAAAGGAATCCCACCTCAAACACTTGACTGCACGTGTGTGTGCCAGTGGGTGTGCAAGTGTGTGTGCTAGTGTGTGCCAGTGTGCTTTATCACCCACACAGCAGACCAAATCTCAACAGGCAAACTTATTTTGCATGCAATCTTTTTTGCTTTCGCACTCGCTTTGTTTCCTCCTCGTGGCAACCTTGGTCTCAAATTCTCAGAGGCCATCTTGCCCCACCTGAAATGTGTGTGTGCAGGTGTCGGCCACACCCACCTCCCACCTTCCACCGGAAAGACAAGACAACAACAAAGCAGGAAAACATGCTCAAACCGCCCGGAAAAAAAGCTAAAAATAAGAAGGCAGCAGGAAAAAACTGCAGAAAAGACGCCTGCTGCAAGTGTGGCGCTAAAACCAAACCCAAACCCAAACCCAAACCCCTGACGTCGAGCACTAAGAACACAGTGCTGGCACCATCCGCCTCTTGAGTGCCGGCCTCCGTGCAGCCTCTTCTCGAGCTCAGACTCGCCATAAAAGTGAACACATAAAGCCTGCAGCACGAGTAGTGGCGGTCGAAGATTCAATTAAAATTAAATTTAATCAATTTTTAATCTGATTTCAAAGTGTTTGTTAAAGGGTTCCTAAAGGAAATGCCTTCGATCTTTCTTAATTTGAATCGCTGTACCTCTAATTCTTAATCACTTCAGTTTTGCGAACCGAACCGGAGTCTCATCTCTCCTGCTGAGATACAAATACATATCCGATGGCTCTTGAGTCCCGGTTTTCCCGGAACAAACGAGGGGGTCAAGCTGCAGGCCTGCTACTCTTGCTATTCTCCCCACTCAGCGCTGTCAGGCCGAGGAAACTTTTGCTAAACTCGCCATCCAAGTGGCATCCAATTGCCCAGGACAGCCGCCTACGGTTTCCCGGCATCGTCCTCGACTTTCCCCGGGATGCCGGGATGCCGGGATGCTGCCGTACTGCTGGAAAAGCCACTTTGTCAGCAGTGTTGGCGGCATTATGATAAATGATTTGTAAATGAACGTGTGGATTTTATGGCAAATTGCGAGGGCGAAAATAAGGGGCCCACCGAGTGGGAGAACATCTAGTGCCTAGTTTGTTCAGTGCTGCAAGGACACTTGGGTTCAAGGTGGAGCCACCCCTTCAAGGATATCCCACGCGTATCGGGAACAGATTCCTCTGCCAGGACATTACTTTATGTCGTTTCAGCTTGCAACTAAGCCGAAGCCGGAAAAACGACTTCATCGAAGTATCAGCTCAAGATTGCAACGTGGGAACGTGAAAACGTTTATCTATGGCTTATGGAGAGATAATTTGTCAAAATGCCACTGCACTGGGCCAGTGCAAAAAAGGCAGCTGGCCATCGGCATTATTACCCCATTAACCATGTGGGATATATATTCGAGTACGAATAGAGAGCTGCATTCCACGGCGAACAACTCAATTTCCGCAGCCAAACAGACCCGACACATTGATAGATGAAGACCCTTCGCTTCGCCCTGTTCAACTTGGATTTATTTAATTTCAGCGATGAGGCATTCCCCTGCACTCAAGCGAATCGATTCTGTTTTCCCGAAAGGCTTAGTCTGCAGGAGCAACAAACGAAGGGCTTTCGAAACGCACAGTCCTGTGCTCCTAATTAGAATTTGTGTGCCCAAGAACGAGAATTGGCGACGCATTGTCACTTCAATTTGCATTAGCCCTCGTCAGAGCGTCGGATCAATTCGAAGGCTTTTCTGCTTTTCTGCTGGGTCTTCTCTGCCGGAGTTATTCCAGCCGAGTGCCGAATATATATATCCATATCCATATCCCCCGGTATCCCCAGACGGGGGCGCAAATTCTGTTATAAAATTGTAATTGCCCAGACGGACAGGAGCGTGAACGTGACTCAGTCCCCCGAGCGAAATCCCGTCCTCTGCTTCCCATTGGGAGGCGGCTTCGTTCGCAGGAAGGCATGTCCAACTACATCTGAAGGCGTTGTTGGAGCACTTGCTGGAAAAACAGAGCGATTTGCTTTCTTCACAAAGGGATAACTCTATTCAGATCCACAACCTGAACCGAAATTATCTGCGTGCTTTGATCGAGCAATCTAACTTATCCCATGGAGGGCATGACTGAAACCACCAACAGAAGGACCTGCACTACAGGGTAGTTACTAGTTGAAATCCCACCGAGCTTGGTCCCAGTTTTTTCTGTTTTCCTGGCGGGGCTGGCAAATTTGATTTGGCCCCAAACCCAAAACATGTTTCTGGTTCGATACAGCTCCCCTCCTTTGTTTCTCCCCGCTGCCTTTTCGGTTGGCTCGGTTGGTTCGGACAGATGGAACCGCAAAATCAACTTAAGTGAAGGCGTAATACAATTTCGGGGGACCCAAATAACTACTGGGGAAAAGGGCTGCAGCGGGATAGATCGGTAGATGATTACTTCGGGGCAAGTTTTATCCACCTGCATTCCTGCATCCTGCAAAACTGCGAAGGCCACAAACCGTTTGCACCTTCGCCATTGTTGCCTTGGTTTTTCACCAGCAAATGCATTTACTCGTTGTTTGCATTCTGAAAAAGTCTTTCAGCAACATATAGATTAATTCGCTTGTGCATAACTGAGTCCTTTGCATGCAGTTCGCAGTACGAGTGAACACACTTCGAACACTCTATTACCGAAGAATGCCGGACACTTCACCTTTCAGACTAAGCCTCAGTCTTTGAGGGCTTTCGGGCTGCCCTGGCAACCGCACTGGAGAACCAACTGAAGGATGTTGCAGTCTGCACGTAGCTGCAATTTAAGGAAACACATGCCAGTACTTCTGTGCTGTGCCGCCCCGTAAAAACGTACGCACAAAAGTATGCAATGAAGGCGGCATTTAAGCAGCATATGGTGGTGCGTGTGTGTGTGTGCGTGCGTATGTCCCTTTGCGAGTGTGCATGTGTGCGTTGGGCAAATTTACACAAATCCACAAGGCGTACGAATTTATTATCCAGCGTTGATAGTGATAAAATTTATAACCAGCATTGAGTACAGCGCCTAAAAGCGGCCAGTACGGTACACACACAAACAGAACCGCACACGCACACACACACAGCACACAACACACAGCACACAGACACAGACAGACAAACAATGCCCAAGTGGGCCACCCACACACCCACACATCCGCACAGGGGCACTTGTGTGTGGGCAAGTGGACGCTCCGTCCTGCTCAGTCACTGTATCTGTCTGTCTCCCTCCCTCCGCTCCTCCGCCCCTCCGCCGTGCATTCGTCATATTTATGCTTTTTTATGGGCCATGTACAATTTTATTGTTTTACTTTTCAATGCAATGTCTGCCAGGGCCTATCGCACACACACACTGACACAGACACAGACACACACACGCGCACTCGAATGCGAGTGGGTGTGTTTTTAACACAGCCGTGGTGAACCACATAAAACCATATCGGAAATATATCGCAACATAAAAGAGCAGAACTTATGTGAAACAACCGAACTTACAATTGTATTGAATTTGAAAAAGGCTCGGCTATCAAATAAATAAATACCCCTCAAAAGAACACTGTACACTTGACCGCAGCTGTAGTTCGGCAGAAGGGGGGATACCAACTGAATACCAGCACACATGTGAGCCACTGGACCATTCCGCCTGGCGAATTGGGGCTAAAAAACAGGTATAAAATGCCAGACAACCGTTGTTCTCTGCTTTTCCTGAACATCGCGAATCTCAAGTCCCCGATTTCTCGGTAAGAATATATCGAGGTATTTAACCACTGACTTCGCATTTCTAATCAAGCGAACAAATGTCTTTTCAATGTATTTCAATTTAAATTTCAATGTGTTGACCGCACAGTAACCTTGAAAAAAGTGATATGTGTTCTTTTCGGATTCAGTGAGGCACACATTAAATGCTGAGCACTTGTGAATAAAGTAAATATACGGAGTGTTGTTCTCTCCCCTTTTACCACCTTTATTAGCCCTTGCCATATGGCCAGGTGGTCAGTTGTCGCCAGGCCCACTTTTATGGTACATCCTCAGACGTCCTTGGGCCTTTCGGTCCCGTCAAGTAGCGTGGATTTTGTATCCATCCACCGACTGATGCAAATCGCATCGCCAAACCAACAATGCAGCGACGCCAGAATTAAATGAGATTATGGAAGACCCGCTTTCTTCTCCGACTGATTGATTCACATTGGCTTGGCAATGATAAAACCGCCCCCCGACTTTGATTTCCAATTCGATGCCATTGTCGTCAATGCAAAGGCTAAACTGGCATTGTTGAGCAGGAGTTTCTATCCTTTCGTCTCAGAACATTTGCCACACACAATAAGCGTGCGTGTGTGGAGGTATCTTAATCCGAATACACACATAGAATCAATCAAAAGCTGCAGCTGCTTTTGGCTTAAATAAGTCCGGGCACACATTTCAGCCCGGAGAATAATCAATTGGAGATTAAAATATTTGAGTGATTGATGTGTGGGTATTTTGCTACTGACATTTGCCGCAAAGGTGTTTAATTAAAAAACCTTAAGCTTGTCTAAACAAAAACTAATTGCTGGTTTCGGGAAGCATCTGAGTTTGCAACACATTCAACCGGATGCCAACGGCTGCTCAATTCGGTTCTAATTTATACGAGTTGAATTTGTTCGAATTATAAGTGTTTCGGACGTGATGGTGCACATAAAATATATTTAAACAAAACATCGATTACTCTGTTTCAGGCATCAGTTTAAACAACTCCGAAGTTTTCTGAATTAGTGCTCATCATGTATACATAGAATACATTTGGGTTACAGCCAACGAGAGCCATCAATCCACTCCCCCTTAGTCAAATTTTTTCCGGAAAACGTTCTCTTCCTCTTTGATTTATCCGAGATTTCCCCCGCTCCCGCTGTCCGCTCGCCCGGCATTAAATATGTATTTGTATAGGCTGGCAAATGATGCAAATAACAGAAGGGAAAACAAAACAGAAATAATGAAGGCTGGACACCGCCGGTTTCAGGAGTCCCAAGATCGCAGGCGGACCCACAAATGGGCCAAGAAAAGGACAATGGACAACGGACAATGGACAACGGACAACGGACAACGGACAACGAACAACGGACAACGGACAACGGGCAATGGACAACGAAGGAGGGCCGTGTCCGGTCCTGAAACCGGATATTCATGTGCCAAAACAGGATGTCTTTCTGTCTGTGCTGTGCATTAAAATTTAAATTAATTGCCGAATTCAGGGGACTGTACTTCGGTGTTTTCCCATGGCAACAACTGCAAGCACGGCCGAGATACTCCTGCATATCCTGCGCCCAGGAGCCATCATTTATGCACTTAATGGTCCTAGCCAAAGCCAAAGGAAGGGCTTAGGCCCACACACCCCGCACCCCGCACTCAGCCGCCTTTAATTGGATCATAAAACAAAGGCCTCCGAATTCTAAGCCTGCAAATTTTGATTGGGAATAAATTGTAATGCCATTAAGGGCATGTCTCTCGTAACGAGTCGAGTAAAAATAATCAGCCAGGGCGACTTCATTACGCCGAACAATGGGCTTAAAGCTCGCCAATTACTCCGCTCTCACTTTACAGTTACAGCTCTCCGGAATGAGAGCAGAATTCTTGATTACTTCGCCGGGGGAGCGGAACGGAACGGAACGGAATGGAATGGAATGAAATGCGAGCGGGAAGTCGGGAAGTCGGGAACCTAAGTCCGCGGTAATTAAAACCCAGCGCACTCGAGTCATCCAGTTAGTTTGCCCACTTAACTCCTGAGCTGCCCGTAATTTTCAATTACCCAATAAGCGTTGGTCAATGGCGCTGCTCGGGAGGATCGTTAAATAATTCAGTCGCTCTGTTAAATAGGAAATTCGCTCAGTGTTAATTTGGATTGCAGTTAACTGGGTATTTCACGCCGTAACCCGAAACTCGATATTCCACGCCGGATGAGGGCTGTAAATAAACAGAAGAGCCGCTGCTCCCACAGTAAAAATGGTCAACGTTTTTTAAAGGATTGCTCCCCGAACTTTGGCCAAACCCAAAACTTGAAACCCATCCCCTTGGGACTGGGGACTGCGGCTCTAAATCAGCGCTCAAATCGCGTATACGCCGTGTCGCCTTGAAGTGCATCAATAACGGGACTCAAGCGGGAGCGAGAACGAGAGGGGGAATGGAAATGGGCGAGTATTAGAGTGACATTAAAGTTCAATAAAAGTGAATTTATGCCCCGATGCGAGGGAGCAGGAAATCCTGTCTAGAACACGAGCGCAGTGAGTGTGTTGGCTGGCCTGATTATTTGTTTATTTGTGAGCTGCTCCGGCCCTCACATGTCACGCCCCCTTTTTTCTGCCTGTTGGCATTAAGCAGCGAGCTTTTTTTGCGCTCGGGCAACTTTGGGCGCCCTCGCCGCCGTGCCCCATAAATTATGCTACACTTTATTATTTTGTAAAATGCCAGCCAGACAAGAAGCCGGCAAAGTGGGAAAGTGGGGAAGCGGGAAAGTGGGAAAGCGGCAAAGAAGCAAAAAAGTGGCACACTTTTTCCTCTAATGGCGGGGAAAAAGTTAATGCCCCGGCAGAATGCCAGACTCCCGCCACCGGACTCTTTTTTTCGGCTCTTTCCGTGCGCATCCTTCTCGTGTGTCAACAGTGGCCGCAAAAAGTTGGTTAACCAGCAGCACCAGCAGCAGCAGCAGCAGCAGCAGAGGATCAGGGGGACCGGAGGGTGCCTTTTGTTAATTGATAGGCCCCGCTGCAAAGCCGCCAACTGGACCCCTTTAAAGAAACAAAAGGAAGGCAGAATTTAAGGTTGTGTTCGCTTGATATTTTCTACTTACACTCTACGTAATTTCTCCTCCCAATAATGGAGAATGCGATCATTTGACTTCTTGCCATATCGCCGCCTGCCCATGCAAATACTTGTGCCAAAACGGCAGAAATGTGCCACCAATCTGTTGCCAAAAACTATTCAGCAATAAACAATGAAGGGTCCGCAAAGTGGGGCGACTTGAGGGGGTGGCGGGGAAGGCACCTTGTGGCTCACATCTGCCGCCTTCTCAGTAAAATATGAGGAAAGCCCGCTAGTTCATGGGTACTCGTATTTTCACATGCATCCCAAATACCTCTGTATACGTAGTGTGTCGCCGGCTTTTCCTTTTCCCTGCCACTACTATTGATTCGCACATTTCCTCCTCCATTTCTGCTGCCTATTACTCTATTGCTTTTTATTTCTTTTCTGTTCGACAGCAGTCGCTAGGTATTGCTCTTTTTGTTTACCTCGAATCATCTTGCGCTAAAAATACAATATATTTGAAAAGGAAATTGATTTGCGGGCGCGTTTCGCTGCTTCCCGTGCTCGTGCACTTGGCAAAAGTTTGATAGTTTTACGAGCCTGAAGTTTGGACTTAAGAAGAGTGTCAGCTGAAGTGTAGAAATATATATACAAAAAGCATCTGTTGACCACTGAAATGATTTCCAATACAGGAGTAGAAGGGAATTTTTGTTGATTGTAAAGGCAGCCTCTTTTTTCGAGTGCGCCTCTATACATTTTCCATTTCCATTTCCTCCGACTTGGCACCTGAATGGCTCCCCTTCTGCCCTTCTGCCCTTCTGCCCGTTTGGGTTTGCAGTGGGTTCGTACTTCCTTTGGCTTCCTCCGGGCCACCCAATCCATCCGCATAAGCCCATCGCATCTTTTCGGGGGAGGTCAAATAACATTTTGTTACAGTTCAACACCGTTTTGGCCCCTTTTCCTTTCGGCCACTTGCTGCGAGCCCGAGTTCTCCTTGGATGTCTTTGTCCCACTTCCTTTGTGTGGAGCTACATAAATTGCTGGCTAATTGCAAGTGGCTCCTTTGGCCAGGAGAAAAAATAGAGGAGAAAGTACGGCGCACACATACCGGCGAACGATAATGTTATGTGGCAGAAGAAAGGGCACTTTAGGAGAAAGTAAAAAGGAGGAGTAAAAAGTGAAAGCAGAAAGCGGAAAAAAGAAAACAGGGAGCAGAAAGCAGAGAGCGACGACAAAGAGTCAAAATGGTAACAATGGAAGACTCCCCTTTTCAACTTGCTGCCCTCAGCCCATGTCACACACACACACACACACACTCTCCCCTGCAGCGACACACACACACACACACACACACACACAGACACAAAAGTCTGCGTTGTTTGCCGGCTTTTGTCCGCGTAATTGGGGGAAAAGAAAAACTCGAAGGGCAGAGCCAAGGGCGGGTGTTCTTCAGGGGTTTTCCAGGGGTGGTGGCCACCCCCTCCTCCCTCCTCCCGTCTCCCGACTTCTGACTCCCCCCTCCCGACTCGCGTCCCCCGAAAGCAAGTGAATGCTGGACCATTGCCATGGCAGCCAGATTCCTCGCGTTATGAGTTTTCATTTTATTTAAAAATGTTCATGAGATGAGAACGCGGGAACGGGGAGCACAAGCAGGAGCAACACACATGCAGATGAGCTCCAGCTCCAGCTCCAGCTCCGGCTCCGGCTCGAGATCAAAAATGGGAGGCATTCCGAAATTGCAATAAGAAAGTTTCGAATGGAGACAGCACTTTGAAGTAGCACCCCCCAAACCACCTAAGCAACCCAAGAGAGGCCGGAGAAGCCTTCTCAAGAACCGAAACTTAACCTAACCCAACCGAGGCACTCATGCGTACTCATTTGCATGTCCTTGCAGTGGTCGTGGCCAACCAGCAGATGCGCTCCACCACCAACCTGCTGATTATCAACCTGGCCGTCTCCGACATCCTGTTCGTCATCTTCTGCGTCCCGTTCACGGCCACCGACTACGTGCTGCCCGAGTGGCCGTTCGGCAACGTGTGGTGCAAGTTCGTCCAGTACATGATTGTGGTTACGTGCCACTGCAGGTGGGTTGCACACACACACACACCCACACACACACACGCACAGCTATCCATTTCCATATATCCATATACCGATACCAACTTGTGACTTTCAGTGTTTACACCCTGGTGCTGATGTCCTTTGATCGCTTCCTGGCCGTCGTCCATCCCGTCACGAGCATGTCCTTGCGGACGGAGCGCAACGCCACGCTGTAAGTGCCCCAGCCAGAACACTGGCAGAAAAAAGGGAAACAAGTCTGAAACGGAAGAAAATCCGTGTTCAATAAGGAGAACGAAAGCATCAACAAGAAAACTTAGAAAACTTTTAAATGTGCTTCAGCACTTTAATCTATCGATTGTTTCAGGCAAACTTCTCACCTTTCTTTCTTCAAATACAACACATATGTAAAGATATAGATATAGATATAGATATAGGTGTACAGTATACAGATACAAGTGCAACTTGAGTCGGCGGAAGAATGGCTTTTCCCACCTGCGCCCAACATCTCACTTCGTCCAGGGTAATTGCATCAATTTGTCCGGCCTTTGTAATTAGCTGGCACTGCCTGCCTGCAAGCCTTGTTCCGTGACCTCTGACCCCTCGCCCTTTCGTGTCCTTAAAGAGAGCAGCCAGAAGCCACTAAAGGCGTGTTTCAAACGTGAATTAAGCATTTAAAGGGGTCCAAGCAAGTACTTCCTTTGAGAACATCACAATCCCACGGGAATCAGCTTCCAAAGATAGTTGAATACTTTGTTGCCAGCCAACTCGTACTGGTGGCACTGCGATGCCGCGGTCCAAAATATATTGGCAGCGGTTTGTATCTGTCTGCAGCCACTTACGTATATATGGTATCTCTCCATCCCCACAGGGCCATCATGTGCGCCTGGATAACGATTGTGACGACTGCGATTCCGGTGGCGCTTTCGCACTCGGTGCGGATTTATCAGTACCACGGAAATGCCGGCACCGCGTGCGTCTTTTCCACGGAGGAGGAGGTCTGGAGTCTCGTCGGGTTCCAGGTTAGTGGGCCCTACACTGAAACTGAAAACTGAAAACTGAAAACTGAAAACCACCCACCTACTTAACCAACTCACCAATCTATGTTCCATTCAAGTCCATAAGTACATATAGAGGCAGGGCAATAGAACACTTTTTTCCGCAGTGTTTTCAGCTTGCGATTCGCCACTTTGTTTGAGGGACTCGAGAGCGAGTCGAGTGAAATGGCTGGAAGTGTCTTATTGCCGAAATCAAGTCTTATTTTCCAGTGCTTGCCCGGCAAGACTGCAACATATTGGCTACTTAGCACAGCCACTCGCTCTCACTTCGTCTCACGCCATCCTTTTATCTTGTCGGGTTACCAGTTACCAAGAGAGACACGCGTTTCGACCAAGCCGAAACAGTGGGAGGATGGCCATAACCGAGCAGGATGAACACATTCATAGTGGCCCAGTTGAACAGCCACTTTATTGATCATACGCAGTGTTGTACCAACAAAGTATGGCGCTTTCACTTTACAGTTTTTGTATCGAAATCGTTCGCTTTCAAAGGCAAACCATAGTTGGTCCGCGAACAATGGCGAGCCACAGGTACGGAAAAGCGGACTACCCCTAACATTTTCCTCCTCCTTTTCCTTTTCCTTTCCCATTTCCATTTTCTCTCCTGTTGCCCCTTCCAATTAACGACATCCCGGGGTATTTGGCCGCATATGGAGCCCCTATTAGCGCCTGCCCGACTCCCAATAAAGCGAAGACAATGCGCTGGCCGCAATTCACACAGTGCACTCCTGTTATCCTGATCTGCCAGGACGAATCCCTCGCCACAATGCCGAATGGCGAGCTGCAGAGTGCGGAGTCCGGTCCTTCGCAATTATTCGCTAGTTTTCCTGCCACAGGGGGGTTGGGGTTACGGGGGGAGGGATATGGCGGTTCGGGAGCGCAATTCCATCATCATTATGCTCCATATTCCCCCATAGATCAGCGTTACCCCAAATGGCTTTCCCGTCCGCCTGAGTTGCTCATATTTTGCCCGAGTTTGTTATGTTTATTACTTGAACTTTTGTCTATTAATCAATCCGGGGGACTCGAAGGTCTTCAAGTGTAATTTCATGCCGGAAGGATGTTACACCGGAAGAGCCACAGTTGTCCTGGCCCCGGAGGGTGCTCCCCTGACTGATGCGGCAAAGGGGGAGGGGAAGGGTAAGGGGAAGGAGAGTGAATGAGCTTTGTCGTCTATTTCCATTCAGAGAACAAATGAACAACGCGCCGAATAACCACACTGAGCGAAAAGGGTATATGGATTCGCAATGGAAATGGGAATGGGAATGGGAAGGAATGAAGAAGGTAACTCAATTATATAGTAAGCTTATATAGTATGATTTGTGCGATTGCACCTATTGTGTATAATCCAATAGCCATTTGCCAATCTGCCTTACTCTCAAACATGTTTTCGCTCAGTGTGCCTGGCTGAATTACCGTCTGCCTGACGACTGACTGACTTACTGACTGACTGAGTGAGTGACTCCCCGAGCTGTTCGGTGTCTTCGGCTAATATGCACCCGTGAAGTCTCCTTTTCCGGCGAATTTTCCCGGCTCACCTAGCTCACCCATCCACCCAAAAGCAAAACCAAAAGCAAAAGCCAAACCACCTGGCACGGCAAATTGCACAGCTCTGCTCGCTCTGGGCCTGCGACACCGACACTGACACTGACACTGACACTGACACGGATAAGGATTCGGATTCGGATTCGGATACGGCATGTCCCCAGTCACGCCCCCCTCTCCCCTCTCCCCTCTCCATCCCCAAGCCCCCCCACTGAGCACATAAATCGCAATTGCTTTGGAAAACACGAAAAGGAAACCACAACTTGGTGCCGCGTACAAAGTGCAGATGCTCTCCAAAGGACTTTCCTCGCTGTCTGCTAGAGCCTGGCAACCAGAGACGAACTGTGAGGGAATCCAAAGAGACCGTTACAAAACCCTAAAACTGTGCATCAACTGCACATGCGGTTTCCCAACACTGGATAGGTTGAGAGTCTCAACACATCGATTCAAGCCTTTATTCCCATTTCCTTGCGAAAGAGCATTCAATCGGCCACGTGAAATTGCCAACTCGAATGCCATCAGGTCGTTTAGTTCGAATTTGATTTGCCGCCCCTGAAAGAAGTCGTGGCCAGGGTCAATGCGAGTATATGTATATAAATATATATCGTGTGTTAGTCGAGCCTTGTCGGGCAATAAAATAAAAATGGATCAAACTTGTGCGAGGCATCCGTCAAGCGGAGCGAACAGCGAACGGCGAAACTAACGACAGAGTTGTTGTCATCGCACCGAACCCATAAAAACGAATCCAATAGTCTGGAACGGGGACGTGGAAATGGAAAAGTGGCGGAAAATAGTGTTTATCTTTCAATATTCCGCCCAAAATGGGCATAACGGCACTTAAGTGCCGTTGCTCTTTCCGCTGAAAAATTGGGAGTGTTGGACAGCCTCTTGTGAAGCCATCTGAATCTGAATCGAAAGCGGAGTCTTATCGGGAGATAGAGTCTTTAAAGGAAGGCCTTGCCTTAACCATATCAATCGGGTTTTTTAGAACCTGAGGCGCCTTAAAGCAGTTGCCTTATGAATTCGCACGACCCCGCCATTATCAATCCACTTGATTAAATCTTGTATTAAAAGTGTCGCTGGCTGCGGCGTTTTATATCCCAGTTTCACAGCCAATCATAATTTCAATCATCTTGATCGCCGTATTTCCTGCGGGTAGTCTAGGGAAATCGATGGCGGGAAGGGAAACGGTGGGAGGATGGGGCTCATCAGAGCCCCTGGCAAGTTGATTAATTTCGCTGAGTGTCAAGTTGCGTTTATGGACAAATCCCAGGCGAAATTTTGGGTCATGCCGAATATAAGGAGTACGCCCCCGACCATTTATCATGTGGCACACACTTCAGTTTATGGCTTTTTATTAGGAAGCGCATAAAGTTTAAAGGCCAGCCAGCCAGAACAACAACGAAGGGAAAAAACACACAAAAGTTTGCTGCTTAAGTTTGGCAACTTTATTTATGGCGCTCGTGCTGTAAAATTTCATGTTGTGTATCTTATCTATTGATTCGACGACTCATGTATCTATCTATCTCTGCTCCCAGTACATTTTTCATCTTTCTATTTCCTGAGTGGAAGTTTTACAGCCTCGCCAAACTTTATAGTTCCCCAACCCCACTCCACTCCACTCAAGTCCACTTCATGTCGGAGTTTCTCGGCCCGTTGACAAAGTCTCAAGTCAAGTCCCCGGCTCCATCCGTCCATTGGCGAGTGCAACTGGGTGCGGAGAAACCCATTTCGAGACGTTCGCTAATCATTGCCGGGAAAATGACTTTCGCTTTTGTTTCCTTCCATTTTCATTTTCATTTTCAAACGACTCTGGCGAAGGCAGCTGAGATCGCTCTTGGCACAACTTTCGCAAGTTTCTGCAGATAACTATTTAAATGTGACGACGGGTTGATGACGAAAGTGGGGAATTGCTTTTCGCATCTAGTTCGGAAGTTTCTCGGCCTAAACGCAACTCCAGCCAGAGTGATGTAAGCATTAAAGGCGTTCAATTTGGGCTGGGAGTGAACAGCAAGAGTCCGCTGTACAAAAAATCCAATTAGCGCAGGTCAAAGGTCACCCAGAGATCCAGAAGGGAAATCCGAAAAGAGAGCAATATCACAGCAATCCACAACAATCGTCATTGTCTTCCGCATGTGTCATAAACTGCAGCATTCAGCGGGATATCGTTGGCATCATTGTCGCGAATGGCGAATGGCGAACGATTTTCCTTTCAATCAACACCTTAATTAATGCACCAGTATTCCGCACTCAGTTCGGGAAAACAAATGAGCGAGTGTGGAAATTGAGGGGAAAGCGTGGGATGCGATTCGCCGATACCCCTTTCTCGTGTCCCATTTTAGTTAAAACCCTCCATCGATTGCATTTTACTTTAACAACTACATTGAATGCTAAATGGTGATTGTTGAATGTTGAATAGTAATTGTTGAATGGGGATTGTTGAATGGTGAATGTTGAATGTTGAATGTTGATTGGTGATTGTTGAATGGTGAATGGTGATTGTTGAATGGTGAATGTTGAATTTTGATTGGTGATTGTTGAATGGTGATTGTTGAATGGTGAATGTTGAATTTTGATTGGTGATTGCTGAATGGTGATTGTTGAATGGTGAATGGGGAATGGTGAGTGGGGTAAACAAACAAAAAATGTAAGTGTCCAGGGCAACTATCGCCTGGCGATGAGTTTCCCTTCAGAGTAATGGGTGCCAGAACTCCACGGATGCGGATGCGGATACGGATACGGAAAAGTGTCGGCACGGATTATGTCACTCGTTTGCGTTCTCGTCCTCGCAGGCGTCCTTGTCGATAACAAACGACATGTTCATTGGCCATGGCCATGGGTAAATCGCAACAAAGTGATTTCGATTCCATAGCTGTCAGGCATCCGCCCACCGCCCACCGCCCCCCGGCCACAGGAATATGAATGCGGGGGCGTGTCAGCGATTATTAACAGTTGCGGCATGCCACGGCGATCCCACGGATGCACGGAAAACCCGGGAAAGCGCGTTGGACAGCTGAAGTGGCGCATGAGGCGGTGAAGCGGCAAAGCGGCAGATCTTCGAGGGGATTTTCGGTTGGGTTTCTCGCAGTGTAGCCACTGGCTCCCCGCTTCCTTCCTTATTCCGCTTCCGTGTCCGTTTCCGTTTCATTGCTCTCGTTTCGAGGCGCCCAATTGATATGCGAGTGTGTACACACTTGTGTACTTTGACTTGCACCTTCGCCTGCTCCGCATATTCGGATGGGCCGCGTGTGCTTTATGGCTTTCATTGCCCGCCTTCCGCTTTTCCGCGGAGGGGAAGGCCCTTAATCATTTACACTTGGCTGCCGGCTGAGGCGCCGCCGAGCGAGTTTTAAGCCCGGCTCGGATGCACGGCCCCAGAAAAGCCGAGCCGCCAAACTCAATTCAACTCAGGCCCCTGCAGCATTTAAATACTTCGGTAAGAGCCCAACCAACAATGGGACTTCCGCCGAATTGGTTTCAGAGTTGGTTCAAAATGATGTTCAGAGTACATCAGTTCACCTCAACAGCGGCTCTTCTTGTTCGAATTGATTTGCCCAATGAATGGCCGCCCATTAATACGCAATACGCCCAATCAAACCGCATAATGGCCAGCAATCGGAATTCGAAATTCCTTCCGACATATCTGCCTAAAAGCGCCGGCCACTATTTCAGTATTTCGGTTTGTGGCTTCGAGCCAATTAATTTTCACGGCCCTTCCAGGAAAACAATATGCAATACGTATACGCAGGGAGGTCCAACTGAAGACCGGCGGACTGCGCGTATTCACGCCAGTTTTTCATATCCACTATCACTATCCATATCCACATTCCCATTCCCACGCGCGCATTTCACGAATATCCAGCTTTTCGAGCTCTGGTAATTCGGATGAGCTGGTGAGCTGGCGAGCCGAAGTGGGGATTTGTTGGGGCTTTTCGGGCCTGGCAAGTGTCTGCTCCCCGTAACTTATATCTGGTATCTGGTAAATAAATGGTAAATGGTAAATGGCATGTGGAGTGGGCTATCTGGTCAGCATCACGGGTCAGCGCTCCTGACGATTTCCATGCGGAAGCGAAAGCAGCTGACGCGGCAGCAGATGCCGGAGGAGGAGGACATTGAAAACATATACAGACATATGAAGGTTCGTGAGACAAAGGAAGGCACTCCACTCTGGGTGACACAATATCCGTGATCTGTGATCCATGATCCGTGATCCAATGATCCTTGTGGTGGGCTCGAAAGAGAAGTCTTGGCCAGCTGCCCGCAACTTGTTAACCTCCTTTGTTGCATTAGTGCTGGCAAATGAGTTTACCTAGAGCCGTAATTTGATTTGATACTCTGGTTCCCAGTTCTCAGTTCCCAGTTCCCAGGTGCAGACACTCATTAGTGCTCCTTACCCTCTTCTTCTTCTGCTTGCAGGTGTCCTTCTTCCTGTCGTCGTATGTGGCACCGCTGACGCTGATTTGCTTCCTCTACATGGGAATGCTGGCCCGTCTGTGGAAGAGTGCTCCCGGCTGCAAGCCTTCCGCCGAGTCACGGTGAGTATATGCGAGTGTGCCATAGAGCAGCAAGCAATCCCCGCAAATATCGCGTATACGCCGTGGGTGAGTGCGTTTCGCAGTTCCTTCGCTCTTTCTCCCTTTCGTTCTTGCCACGCACCTGCGGCTGCCGCCATGATGAATGCCTTTTTATTAGGCTGCTTGGCTCGGAGAGCTCACGAGCCTCGGCTCATGCATTTTTAAGTGGCCAGGTCAACGGGGCCGAAAGCGAAAGCGAAAGCGAAACATAAGTACGAGTGCCAGTGGCTCTCCCAGAGGATTCCGGAATTTCCGAGGAGTGCGAAAGCCGGAGGAGGCGTTTTGTTCCATTCGGCGAAGACAACTCTCGAATCAAACTATGACTCTCAACTTATTTGAACACGTCATGATCCATTTAAGCGTGTTCCTCCGCTAATGATATCCCAGCCTTGCGGTTAAACTTGGTTAAACTGGGCTTTAAGGTCAACTCTTAACTTGGTAACAAACCGAATTCGGTTGAACAAGGCCCCCGCATGGAATCGATAAAATGTTAAAACGAAACAAACGCAGTAAATCATTACCTGAATTATGCAGAAGTGGGCAACTTCGTCGAACCTTAATGCAAATACCTTATCCAGTGGCAATCAAATGCGGTGGGCGTGGCACGTAATGTATGCAGTGCACAACATATGTATATACATACTATATAATATATTTTAGGCTGCGTTTTAAATTTGAATGGAAATGAAGTTGCGTCGCAGTCGCAGTTCGCACGCAAAGTTCATAAATCACCGAGCAGCAGGCAGTGCAAAATTCCCAAACTGAAATGCGGCATAATTTATTCGCTCTATCCCTCCCTGTATTTCTATATACTCTATATCGCCCACTAACTCTCCTTGTTGTTGTTGTTGTTGTTTTTATTTGTGTTGTTGCAGGAAGGGAAAGCGACGCGTCACCCGAATGGTTGTTGTCGTCGTATTGGCGTTTGCAATTTGCTGGCTGCCCATACATGTAAGTAGAAATAAATCAAAGCCGAATGAAGTGAAAATCAAAAAGTGCGGAGGAAATTCGCTGCTGAGCTCATTAAAGTCGAATCCGCAATTTCGGTGAAGCTTACCTCCTGTATATCCTGTATATCCTGTGAATTTGCCATCTGTTTGTGGAGAAGAGCAGCCAGGAAGTCATCCTGTTTGCTTCTGGTGGTGATTCATTTGCCTCAGTACGAATGATTGGCGGTTTAAAGTCGATCAACACTTGGTGGGCTTTAATCTGGAGGTCAAATATATTGATACCATATTTTACTCGCAATCGATTCGCATGGGCACTGACTTACGATCTGAGGAGCTTAAGTTGGCAGTGGCACCAGCTGCTGGCAAGTTTCGTTGGCAAACACAGAGGACACGAGTAGTGGCTATAGATTGGCCCCCTTTTGGAGTCCTTTTGGAGCAATCAACACTGCAGTGTCCCTCCAATGAGCTAGCAGAAGTGTCTGTCGATTCCGATTCTGAAGTGTTTGCCACTCTGAATGCGCTCGCAAATTACAAATAGAATCACAATCACGCAGACTTTCGATGCGCCAATTGCATTTCAAATGCCACATTGCGTCGCTCCTCCATGGAAGGGGATCCCGGACTAACCCACTGTCTCGCTTTCAGGTCATCCTGGTGCTGAAGGCGCTCAACCTGTACGGAGGCAGCCACCTGTCGGTCATCGTCCAGATCATCTCCCACGTGGTGGCCTACACGAACTCCTGCATCAACCCCATCCTCTACGCCTTCCTCTCCGACAACTTCCGCAAGGCGTTCCGCAAGGTGGGTCCCGAACTTACCTTACCTGCTTTAACTTACCTTTATAATGTGTACAATAATGTGCGATTCGGGGACCCATTCCAGGTGGTCTGGTGCGGCAGCCCGCCGCCGCTGATGACCAACCAGCAGGTGACCAAGACCACGCGAACTGCGACCGGCAACGGAACGTCCAACATTGAAATGCTCTAAGCGGGTGGGTTCCTATTACTATCCTATTATTCCGATAAACCGATAATTCCGATAATACATATAATCGGAATGAATCGGTGAAACTGAATAGAAAGCTAATCGAACTCGTTGTCTTCTTGCAGCTCTCGAGAACGAATGTTCCAAGATCGCCGCATCGTTTTCGAAGGCGATTCTCAACGCAGAACAGAACAGAAAATGTGAATTTAAAGCTAACACTGAATACAAACCACTGAACTCTACGGCTAAATGGGAATTCGACGCGGCACATTAAGTTAACTGTGTACATAAAACCACTTGAATTTGTCTATAAGGAGAATATAATTTTCCGAATTCTGAAATATGATTTCTTTTGGTAATTTAGAGGACATGCACACTTTTCTTTGAACCAAACAGAATTCCATTTGAAACCCAGAACCAGTTTGGCAGGAAGGAGAGCTCACACTTCGATTGTTTAAACTGAAATGTTGCACTTGCTTTGGGTGGACAACATAAAATCGAAAACAAATAAGCTGCAACATCCGTTCGACATGAATTGATGAGGGACAAAAATATCTGAGGGGGACTGCGGAATTGATGTTACAAGGAGTAGATTTCTGTGTAATTTGCATGTTTGTCATTTAGTCATTAAGCGTTCGAAGGCCGACGTTAATTAGCAAAAAATAAAATAGAATAATACGACCAGATTGGACAACGGAAACTTACCACTTTCCGATGGCAGAGCTGCACATCCTATGGGAAAAACATTGATTAATAACATTTAGGGCAAAATCTTATCACCAGAGCTGTAAATCTAAGGCGGGTAAATGTTTCAGCAAGCATATTCGATTAAAGGGCTAACTAAGTGTCATTATTATACCCTGTAATATGTAATATTAGCAAGGCTCAAATGAATGTCCTTCAGTCCCTGCGAAGGTCCCTTTTCGTAATGCAATTCAAACCGATTAGCCAAGGATTTTAATTCAACAATAAAGCGTCTAGAACCGCCAAGATGCGAATTATAATACGAGAACATTTCCCCCCTTAGATTAAAAGAACACACTCCGCAAGAATCCATTGCATCACTTACTTAATTTAGTCATAAACTAGTCGAATGTTGACCAGGAGGTGTTTTAGTTATAGCTTACCAGTTTACTATACATTAACGTTTTTTGACTATTGAATAGGAGGGATCGATCAAGTATTTTATATTATATACGTATTGTTTGTTACCCACAAACCACACACGTTAATAATAATTCTAGGTGGCATAAAAACTATACAACAAATGGGCATTGAGTTGAAATAGTTGAGGCGAATTTTGTTTCTCTCTGCGTGTAAATTACGACTAACCAGGAACACCTTCTCAACCTTTCCAGTAACGTATGTTAGCAAACGTATTTAACCTAAACTATTGTATCTGTATATCGACATAAGTATCTATAGCAACGTATTTACGTACTTATAATTGTATTTTTAAATGTATTCTACTGCATTCCTAGCACAGTTGTGGAATTGAACAATATTTAAATTTTTAAAGAGTAAAACCGAAACGGAAGGGCGAAATTGATCAGAGAAAAATTTGAATATTCTAGACTTTAAGCTGACAACGGAAAGAATTTTTTTTTACCCTGTAGGGTATTTACCCAGTAGGGTATTTGCTAGACGCCTAGCCTCACCAAAAAAAAATTGAAGCAAAACTAGCGACTAAAAAGTGCATTACGAAATGCACTTTATTTTTTTGTGTTTTCAGTTGTGCATCAAATACTTTAGTGGCGTAAGGAAAGCAGAACCTACTGTATTTGTATATGAATGTTTATGTACAATAAAATTTGTTCATTGTGTTAAATAAAATTGATGACTCCGTGTACACGAATTAAGTCCTTTTTTGTGGCCACGGCCGGGGATTTTGCAACCCTTTTCAAAATCAACCAATGACTGCTGTTTGCATTGCGTAAATACGCTTTTTTTACCTTTGCAGGTATTATAATTTCACTTCAGACCCCATAAAGTATATTATATGAATCGAAGTAGACTCCTTTGTGGTTCGATGTAACCATTCTCTCAGTTTTAAAGCAGTATTGCCGAAACTTTGCCAAAAGACGAGTAGTTTTTGCACTCAGTATATAAGTCGGATAACTCCCATAGGACAGATCGAAACAAAAAAGGAAGCTACCTTATTAAAATGATGAAGTTTGTCAGAGAATTGCAATACAATCTCTTAGAGATATGCCACTTCAAAATCGGATTAAAATTAGAAAAGTTTTGGACTTGGAATTAGTGAGACATATTTATCATGTAGACATGATTTGTGGATGGTGGTGGTGCAGATGGTGTTTTCTTAGGACTCTTGAGTTTCGGTTTAAAAATAAAAAAATAGGATCACTTTATTTAGCTGCAATAGTAACAAGCGGTGGAAATATTGAAAATGAATAGAGATTGCTTAGCCTTTATGTCTTCCTTTCTTGTTTGATTAGGTTGTCACTGGACACTTTCTTTGTTTGCTCTTCAGATACAACTGTTTTAACACCTAAGAAAAAAATAACTGATAAATCAGTGCATTGAGTGGTTTAAAACTTTTTGTAAACTCGTTCGGCTAAATCAACACCTTAAAAAAAGGGAGCACCTTTGGGGGGTTTACTCCTTGAGATTGGTGGCACTTACAGCGACTTTCGGTGAAAACAAGCTCCCTGGGAGCAACCAACCAGCGGAAAAGCGATCCAAGAACTGAGCTGGGAAAACAGGCGAGGAAAGTGGCTTTCCCCGGGAACTGACTGGCCAGAAAAGGGAAAACAGAAACGGAAAACAGAAAAGGTGCATCATAAATTCGCACAGAATGTGTAAACAGTGACATTATTTAGGCAACCTATGGCCTGCGTGTGGGTGGCATGACCCACTGAACCACAGTGGGTCAAAAATGCACAGAAATGGAGGTGGAAGTAGCAAGTGGTTTGGTTGGTTTGCTCCACTTTGAGCTACGGAGATCAAACTGGAATCAACCTGCTTGTAACTCCAAGCGAACGCTTCCGTTGTATTTCCGCTCCGGAAGAAGGTTTCCATATTCGTTTGGGAGCTGTGGTTCCACGGTTACTAGGTTCCTCGGTTACCATCTTCCTGGGCCGCAGTGAAGTTCGAGCAAATATTGGAATATTTATGCCAGCTTCGAAATAAAAACAAGTGCCCGGCGCTCTGCTGGTTTTACGAGGCAAACAGCGGACTGGCCGGACTTTATGGTGTTTTGTTAGCCAGCAACAGGTTGCAGGTGGCCAGTGGGCAGGTGGATCGAAGGTGGAGGAGGCCGGAGAAGTGGGTCCAATTTGCGGCCGCTGGACCCGCAGATAAACAAGGCAATAAGCGGCCCACGGGGCGCATACGCAATTGCTGCCGTTGCTCTTCATTAGAGCGGATTGCCAGGGTCTTGCCAGGATTGCCAGGATTGCGGGGAGTGGAGGGGGAGTGGAGGGGATGTCCAGGCTCATTACTTCAAATACAGCGCTGGCCACCCGATTTAATTATGCCGCCGACGCCCGACAGTTGGCCGCCATCCCGGCCAGAAGTTCGGAGTCCCGGAGTCCGGGCTCCGGTTATATTTCAAAACCGGACAGCAAGCCGGCCAGAGCGTTCAGTCGCCAGGCGTCCGCCGAGTGAGCCACACCAGGATCCACTAGTCCCGAGCCCACTAGCCAGGATGACCACACCCAGCGCGGGAAGCTGGACGCTCTGCGGCGCCGTCCTCCTGTTCGTCCTGCCGCTGATCCCCTCGCCGGAGGCTCTGCACCACACGGAGGAGGGTCTGGAGATGCTCTTCCGCGAGCGGTGAGTGTGGCAACTCAGAAGAAACCGCTGGTGAACCATCGAACCGATTGTGCTTTCAGCTCGCAGTCGGACTGGGAGAACGTGTGGCACCAGGAGACGCACTCCCGCTGCCGGGACAAGCTCGTCCGCCAGCTGTACTGGGCCTGCGAGAAGGACATCTACCGCCTCACCCGGCGCAACAGGAAGAGGACGGGCAACGACGAGGCCTGGCTGAAGAAGAGCTCCACGGGCGGTGAGTGTGCAAGTGATTCCCAGTGGGATTCCCAGTGGTTTCCCAGAGGGATTCCCAGAGGGATTCCCAGTGGCATCCACCTTTACAACCTTCTATTCCCTCCCAGCTGACGGCGCCACCTGGCTGCACGTGAACTACGCCAACATGTTCCTGCGGAGCCGCCGCGCGGACGGCCACGCCCCCTCGATCTCGAACGAGTGCTGCACCAAGGCGGGCTGCACCTGGGAGGAGTACGCCGAGTACTGTCCCTCCAACAAGCGGCGCAACCACTACTGATGGACGGACGCGTCCCGCTGATGGATAACCCACTATACCCATATGTATATTCGCTTTTTTTTCGTGGTTGTTGTTGTTGTTGGTGTTGGTGTTCTCGTTGTGGTGAAATAAAGTCCTACTGAAACCTCGCTCGGGTTGGTTTGGTTAACAAAAAACTTTACTTAGTCCTAAAGAACCTCGCACAGTTGCACTCTTTCTACAGGGAATTTCGTCGTGAGATTCACAGTGTTAGAACAGCACAAATCCTCCAGGGCTCCTCCATCACCTAGTCCACATTAGTCGGCATCCTTGTCCGCAGTCGCACCCTCCACGTCGTTCTCCCGGCGACTCTTCGCCGGACCCTCGACCTTGCTGCAGGCAGCCGCCTTGCGCGGTCGCTTCGAGGCCTGTCCCTTCTCGTAGTGCGAGTCCAGCATCTCGAGGAGGGTCAGCTGGCGGCCGCCTGCTCCTCCTGCTCCGCCGGCCCTCGCAACAGAGCCCGCTCCCTTGGCCTCCTCGCCGAGGATGAGCTTCGCCTCCAGGCTGGCGGCCTCCATCATGGCGCTGGCCTCCTCGTCGTCGGACAGCATGAGGATGGCCTGTTCCTGCGAGGAGTCCGAGTTCTCCTGCGACGCCTGCGGGGGAAACAGGTCGGGGCTGTGGGCGTTGGTCCGGGCTGCCTTCTTGCCGAGCAGTTCGCTTTCCGGCGAGCACCTCCCCGATTTCGTTGTGGGGGGAACTGCTTCTCCCGCGCCCGCTGCTCTCGATGTTCCCGGTGCCACCGCGGCCTCTTCCTTCCTCAGCTCCTCCCTTATAAACTCGTACAGCTTCTTCTTGGTCGCCTTGCCCTCGCGCGGCTCCTTGGCGCCCTTCTCCCGCACCAGCTTGCTGTAGGATCTCAGGACGCCCCACAGCTGCTGCACCGTCGTCCGCTCGCTGCGCAGCAGGAGCCACATGGCGTGGAAGTCGTCCCTGAACTCGCTGTTCCCGAAGGTGTAGTAGGCCAGCGGTCTGCCCAGCTGGGCGCAGACCATCAGCTGCAGCAGGGCCTTCAGGTAGGAGTCCCCGCCGAAGGCGCCGCATCCCCAGTTGCCGGTGGCCACGCCCGGCGGCGGCGTCGCCATCCAGTGGACGAACCCAATGTACGCCTTGTTCAGCTCACGCTCCATGAGCTCCTCGCGGTACTGGTGGTGCGACTGGGCGAAGCGCAGGGCGTCTATGGCCACGATGGCCGTCTGGCGGCGCCGCGAGCTGTCCCTGGGCGTCGGGTCATCGCAGTTCCCCGACCACTCGAAGCTGCCGGCGTAGCCCGTGTAATTGCTGTACCGCTCGGCGCCCAGCATCACCAGCGACTCGAAGGGGCGCAGGCTCTCCGTGAAGAGCTTGCCCACCAGCAGCTCCGGGCAGATCACGAAGCGGATCTCCTCCTGGACGCAGCCGTGCCCCAGCACCCCGCCGCCGAGGTACTTGTTGGCGAAGTCCACCTGCAGCAGCCCCACGCCCTGGTCCTCGATCGTCCCCTCGGCGTCCACGTGCAGCGGCACGTCGCCCAGGGGCGCGCCACTTTGGCTCCAGTCCACCTGGTGCTCCGGCATCCCGCTCCGGCGGACGAAGGTCACGACGCCGGTGGGCACGTTGCTGTCGTCCCGCTCCGTGGGACACACGCGCCGGAAGTAGTGGATTATGCACTTGAGCTTCTCCAGCACCGCCGACCCCGTGGACTGGTACAGCCTGCGAAGGGATGGAGGGGAAGGGAGAGGGTTACGTGTCCAGCCATGGCAGATATGGCAGATATGGCAGATCCCAATGGAGATCTACTCCTGCTCACCGGTTGAAGTTGATGTCCGGGAAGCTGCTGTACTCGGACCTCTTCTTCAGGGTGTTCCTGCGCGGAAAGGTGCAGAGGAAGGCGTTGGCCAGCAGGCAGGCGATCTGCTGCTGGCTGAGGCTCAGGCTGGCGTTCTTCTGCTGCTTGAGCAGCGGAATCGGCGACTGAATCAGGTCCGGAAGGCGCAGGGCCATCCGAATGATGCGCGGCAGCAGGTCCTCGAAGAAGACGCGCGACTCGCTCTCGTCCAGCTCCTCGTCCAGCAGGTGGTGGAGCGCCCTGAAGTGCCACTGGTCCCGGTAGGTGGTGTTGTAGGACAGGATGGCCGCCTGCAGCTTCGCACTGGACTCTATCGGCTGGAGCAGGGCCCGCTCTATCATTTCCCATCTGGAGTCGATGGTGGTGCTCCCGTCCGGGTTCTCCCTTGGATACTTCGACTCGGGCGCGCAGGGAAGACGCACATGCTCCGAGTCCCACTTCCCCGGCGATTTGTGGGGGCGTGGCGGGCTTTCCCGGACGGGCAGTTCGTACATAACCCAGTGGAGGGGGCCAGCTGCCACGGGCGGCAAGTGCTCGAATTCGAACAGATGGAGGTTGCGGTGAATGGCTTCCATGGGCACTCCCCGCCAGGACTCTTTCCTTCGGGGCACAGGGAAATCCTCCTGGCTGTCCGGCTGCTCCTCTGTTCCCATTTTGGAAATCCCGCCATCCGGTAACTGAGACATATTGGCCGACCTCAGCCAGTTCCAATCGCCCCGCCGGTTGGTCAGCGATGAACTCGATCCACGGCGAAGAGCCGAAGACTGGTAGATCTTCTGGAATGCGTGGAAAATTGTGCTGTTCTTGTGTTTATCAGCTTTTCTACCTAAAATAACGGCAAGGGGCAAAGTGTGGCCGGTTTTTTGTGTGCTGCTGGCGACTTAGAGATGTGTAAATATCGATAGGAAAATGACTTCCACCTTTTATTTATTTGGCCAATATAAGTACATTTACATGGGCAACAGAACATTTTATTAAAAACGTATATTGTAGCATCAGGAAAACTGCAAATTCGAAAATGTTGTTATGTCTTATCCGAGCCTTAAACCAATGTTTTACCAATCCGAGTTTCCAACCAATGTCTTGCTGGAGGAAAAACATTTAGGCAGTAATGCGAATTTGGGGGAAAGACTGGATTTTTTAGTAAGAATTAACGATTTAGCTAAAGAACCCAACAACACTGTTAGCTGCAAAAACAACAACAAATTGCCACACGAATTGTCAACTATTTTATAAATTTTTTTTCGAATGAGATAATAAGAAATAATAAAAAGAAAAAAGACAAATTAAGTGAAAATAAACGCAAAACATAAGGCCGGTAAATAAAAAACTATATTTTTTTCCGGAAAAATACTCCGCAAGACGGGAACAAGCGTCTTTTTTAATACCCAATTATTATTAAGCCAAGGTAAAAACAAAGTCAGGGACAGTTGCGAAAAATTAAACGGGATAGTTAAATTTTTTATATTTTCCTTAATTTATTTCTGTGGATTTACTTGTAAGTGTTCTGTGAATTTTGTCTCTCTTTCGCATAAGCTTACGTGTTGTAAGGAAATCGAGAACCCACTGCATACACGTGCAAAAACTCTGAGAGGATTTCAAAGAGAGCAGAAAAGAGGGCAAGAGAGCGCTTTTGTTTGTTTTGAAAGCGTCGCAAAAACAATATAAAAAGGTCATAAAAACACACATACAAAAAAAAAACCGTAAGCAAATCAACGACTAGCTTAAAACAAAAAAAATAAATATAATTTATTAAATGTACTTTTGCTAAAGTTCAACACACCTTTATCTCTTCGCAAGATTTTTTTAATCTCTTGTACTCTCTCTATCGCTCCTTGCTGCGGAGGCGTAAACAAACCAAAAAAGCTTCAAAAGAGAAATGAAAAAAAAAAAATAATAATTATCACAAAATTGTACCAACACTCAAACTAGACGCAATTTCTCTTCGTTCCTCCTCTTCTTTGGGTTTCTATATTTTTCGCATTTAGCCTTCAAGTTTGCTTAAATTTCGCCTTGACCATTACCTTGAAATATGTGAAGAGTACTGTGAAACCTCCGTAAGTAAAGCTCTCCTAAAAGTATATAAGAAAGACTCCTTTGATTAGCAAGTTAAATAAAATAGAAAAATTAATATAATCTAGTTGAATTATAAAAGATAAAAGTTTTTAAAATTCAAACAGTTGAACGGGGTTCGATTTAATGAAGTTCCTCTGTTTCGTTTCTAATTTGCGTCAGCGAGAAAGAGAGGGAATGAGCGGGGGAGGCGTTGACGGGGGCCACAAAAACAGCCAATAACAAAATTGCATATTGCCAAATAATCGTTCAAAAAAAGCAAGAAACGAAAATCGAACAAAAAATAAAGAAATGTTAGTAAACTTGTTCAAGGTCACCTAACTAATAATAATCAAGAGAAGAATGAGACTAACTTACCAACACAATAGATCAGAATATTAATTCTGAAAATTAAACAATTAGTGGAGAAAGCAATCTAAAAGGGTTGTGTGAAAATATGTATAAATTATCTAATTATGGTGCAGATTGAATTTTAGCACATATTTTTTTTGTATTTTTGCATTATTTTTTTATTATTTACTTAAAACATATTAGTATAAGATATGTCTTTATGTTGTATGATACATATATGTACATATGTAGATATTCTTACATTTCCTATTTTAATTTTATATTCAAAGCAAAGCTTAAAAATGATACTGTGGGATGATCCTTAAAAGAAATAATTAAATGTTGTATTTCTAGCTTTTGCAATATATGTATGTATTGCAATATATGCAATACTTCTTACACACATTTGCAGTCAAAAGAGAGAGAGCCCGCTAGATAACTAGAAAGAGAGAGCAGACCACACGTGTTGCTAAGGAGGGTCGCTCAACTTTATCACCGACCTCCCTCCCCCTTTAAATTACCTTTTTTGTTTCTTATTTTGTCAGGAAAAAAATTCGCACACTCACAAACAAAATAAAGGCAAAACAGAGTGCAAAAAATTCGCATGAGCGCATGACCTTGAAATTTCTATAAGACGTGAAAAGTCACTGCGACGCCTGCAGTGCAAAATAAGCAGCAAAAAAACAAGAGCGAATTTGTTTTTCAAGAATAAAAACAAATAAAGAATGAGATTTTGCTATTTATTGGGAATTTATTGGGAAAAATTCGAAATAAATATTAGATTATGTATTTACTTTTAGTTGCTGATGGGGATGGACCGCAGTTCATATTTTTTTTGACAAATATTGTTATATTTTTACTTTTGGCAGCATTCACGCCTCTATTATCGAAAAAATATTTTTCCCACAATATAAAATAAAAACTGAAACTAGCAAAGAAACCAAAAAATCAAAATTAAACAAAACACTTTAATATACATACTAAAATTAAACCATATTGTATATGAATACAATAACCTTTATATGCACATTAAATTGGTTACTGCCAAAATATGTACATAATTCGTTTTCAATTTGTTCGATATGTTAACGCTTTTGTTCCTGCATTAGAAGACCCCTTATAAATTTTATAAGATATTACTACAAGGACTAGTTACTTTCTCAGTAAGTATTTTGAGGTAGTTTTAATGAATTAAAAATATGTAAATAGTTGCATTTTTCTAATACATTTTTACATCGGTTACCGCTGCAATTTCATCATGTGTCTTTTTTCGGGTGACGTCAGCGAAGCCAGCGTCGCAGTCTGTGCTAACAGAGGCGTTGTAACAGAGTTTAATTTTATGAGTCTTCGGGAAAAAGGGGGAATTAGTCACTTGTGACAGTCACAGACTAAATGGCACTTGTTGTTCGCTCCTTAAGAGAAAAATGGGGGAAATATAGGGGGTCAGAGGGGTTTTGGCTGGCCCTAACACAAAAGTAAGGCGAGGCAAAAGGCTGATAAGCTAACAAGTGACTAATAATCACCGGTCCAAACTGACAAAGTGCGAGTATCGTCAAAAAAAAAAATAATAATACCATAATGTGTACAAATCCACTAGCAAATTTAAAAGATATTTATGAAAATTTAGATTTTCTTTTACTTTATTGCATAAATGCAAAAAGTATAGAAAACATAAAATTACACACATATGTATACACCTATGTATGTACATATATGTACATGGATTTTTCTCACATTTAATACCAAAATAGAAAATGGTCAAAAATTAAAATTAATTATTTTTGTCACATATTCAATGTCAACATTTTCTTTCTTTCTATATTTTTATTTCCTTTCAATTTATGTTTGTGACTGCTACATTGTAATTTTTATATTTTTTTATTTCTGTGTTTCTCGATTCAAACAAACATTGTAAACATATTTATCCCCATTTTTTTTGTTATACAACTATTTTCATTAACTTGTTGTTGCTGTTTGTTGTCGTTCATTGTTCGTTGACGAAAAGAGCGAAGAGAGAGCAATTATTGTGTACATTGCACATGTCTCCAAGACCATTTTTGTGTGTGTGTATGTGTGAGTATGTTTAGTATCTGACATCAGCGACAACAATAACAAGGCAACGTGCGCCCGCAAAGCAAAAACAAAAAAAGAAAGAAACGCCAACGAAGACAAAAACAAAAGGCGAACCAGTAAACACGTCAACCAAGTCATTGAACATAAAAAAAAGAAAAAGATGAGTGAGAGAGAGGAAACCGGCTGTTCGTAAAAACAATTACAGTGCGAATGAAAAGGTGAGCGGCAGAATAAGAGAGATCAGAGAGAGCCGTTTGCGTGGCAGCTTTTTGGTTGTGGCACAAGAAAAGACAAACAAACTGAAGCTGACACGTGAGCTACCAAAAGAGAAGGCAAAAGAGAAAACATTGATAGCCGAAATTTGAAGAGAGCGTTAAAAGAGAAAGTCTAGCTCGACGAAAAACAAACAAAATAAAAATTGCACACCGCTGCTGCTTTTTATCATATGTAGATAATAAAAAAGCTAAACAAATAAATAGAACGGAGAACTTGGTAAATTTTATATAAATCAGCAAGAGCGATCCACATTTGCATTTTGCGCCTGCAACGACAACACCCAAAAATGCACACACGCGAATACAAACGCAAACAGTAAATACAAACGTTCGCTCTCTTGTTTTTGTGTCTCGTGATAGAGGCAAAAAACGAAATAGCGGTAAAGACAACGCAGCGATAACGCGAACACACACTTCACTCTTAAACCACCCACTCGTGGGGCTCTCTCTTCACTGTGCGGTATGGCCATCTCGTTCACACTCACAGTCATTGCCTGCTGCTTATTATTGTAGGTCATAAATGCATGCACATGATTGCACTTGGTGTAAGCTAGTGAGTTGGCGCAAGAGAGGCTGCGTCTATGTGTGAGTGAGTGTGTGCAGCTACGTGTACAATTTGAATGCGCTTCTTCGGTTTTCCGCAGGTGAATCATGCTGAGATACATATGTATTCACCATATAAAATGATTTGGTGCTGTGAAAGTTTAAAATACCCTTTATTGGGTATGAATTATATAAAGTAAAATGACTTGCAAAGACTGTCGAATGTGCTACAAAACTGTGAAGAATTTTGAGAAGGGGCTCCGTGACTGACTAGAAATATTGAAAACAAATTTTTTGAATATTTTTCTGATTTAAATATTAAATAGGAAGGGGAATCCCAGAATTCTTCGACGTTCGTCTTCGTTTTTTCCAATCCTTCTTTTTCGACCGCTGTCATAATCAAAGCAAAGGCTCTGTAATTAACAGTGTCTGTGTGTGGGTGGCAGCGGGCGGTTGTTAAGAAGACGTAGAGAGAAAGAGAGAGAGAGAGAGTGAAATACAGAGCAAGGAAGCCATTGCAGAGAAAAAGAAGACTAAGCTTTGGTTTGTAACTTCAGAAAATGTTTGCTTTG